AAAAAAAAAAAAAAAAAAAAAAAAAAAAAAAAAAAAAAAAAAAAAAAGCATACTCTCTTTGGTGTAATCCTGGACAAAGACGTGCTCGTACACAGCGTGTGATCGGCAAACGCAGGCGTCACGAGTCCTGCGCGATCGTTTAAAGCTCCCGTCGGTGCTAATTGACCGAGCGCGCAAAGATCGTTTTTCTATTGCACGTACACACACATATACGTCAGCTGTACTACGCGTCATCATCAACTATACGTTGTCTTATTTATTATTATCGTCTCGGCATCGATGTCTCCGCAAAACATATAATAACATACACACAGATTGCAGCCAGCCAGCGGATAAACGTTTGCGGAAGCAACTTATCGACACTCGCTTGGATTTCGCAAGACGTGCAATGTATGTATCGTGCGTGTTAAAATATAATATTTTGTACGTGCGTACACTGAAAAAAAAAAACAAGTTTTTCATAATCAAGAAAATATGAACTATATAACTATGGTATAGGTATGTTTTCTGGAAACAAGAAAATATTTTGTTACATCATGAGAATATTTTATTGTTTGAGCTGAATATTACCTCAAGATATTTTTTTTGCTTGGAACTGTACTTATATTCCAGTGAATATTGTCTTTATTTTTATAAATTCTTTTTTTCCACAGTGTACAACATACGGGTACAAAAATAGCGTGTAGTGGGTATATTGTATCGATTTTCCTATAAATTTTACGAGGTAAGCTCTTTTCGTTAAATGAGATTACGGAACCAGGAAATGAAAATGTTGGGGGAGAAATGCGTTGATTCCGATTAGAGGTGGAGAGAGACTCTAGTAACTCGATTTCCTACTCGCACGAAACGTCGACGTAAGACGTGCGTGCTAATTGTACTTACGCGCGTTTATAATTTCCGGGCGAGTGCTCTTTTTTAATTACCGGGGCTTTAGTGTGTATAGGTACGATGGCTCCATTGGAGTGCCATTTGTCGAGCGATCGTCGGTTCGATGATTGAAAATTTTAGAAGAAGAGCCAAAGGTAATCAACGGATGTTATGAATTTATGATTAATGGCAAGATAAATATTTGCGCGTCGCGAGACTTTTATAGTCCCACGATTGGTGTGTAATGTATATTGATGTATGCATAGACGACGAATCGAAATAGCGAGGCTCGAATCGACTGTTGCTTTCGAGTGTATTTTCACTGTTCCTATATTATATACACCCTCACTTTGGTAACTTTGGGATGTTAATAAAGCGTTTGATGGAAACAAAATTTTTTCTCGGTTAATGATGCTTGTCCAAGTTTTAAGAGTTTGGAACGTTAAATTCGATGGTTTGATAGTTGCTAGGAAAATTCTCTTTGTAACATGTAGTTGTCGGTGTCTGTATTCAAAGTTCGAGTATTGAAAAAAAAAAGAGTTTAGTTTACAGCCAACAATACCTACTCGTGTCTCGCGTTCAAAATTAGAAATAGTTTTTAATAACTATCCCATAAATTTGACTAAAGTCCCACTTGCTGGTTGTTTTATTCGCGAGATAGGCGAAGCGTAAAAATACCCGGCGTGTGCAAAAAATGAGTTCGAAACATTTTATTTTTTATTTTCTTTATGCTCGATAGAGCGTGATTTCGATTAAATTTTAGTTGAGAATGAAAAGAAAAAAAAAGGAAGACCATGATTTAGTGGTTCGATCGAGTCGTTCGATTGTACGGGCTGTGCTATACTGAATTAAAATTTTATAAAAACTACCACTAAAGTTTGACTACTCTGTAACGAGAATACATTGTTTAAAAAGTCGGGTGTCTCAATTATATCAAATTCGGAGCCCGTTTTTTTTTTTTTTTTTTTTTTTTTTTTTTTCGCTCGTGCGTGCATAATACATTGTGCCCTGACCCTAATGCGTATTTTTTTCATTAGACACACAGAGTCCTACGTTTTTTTAATGCAGCACAATTGATCGGTGATGGTTTAACTGCTCGGCGAAGGCGCATTTTATTAGCTTGATTGGTTTAATTGCGCGAAGCATTGCCCGTGAATACCGGAAAAATTTAAACCCAAGAGACATTCACGGATCATCACGTACATGCTTTTTGAATTTTTTGACGAGGCGTCAAATTTTTTTTTTCAAATTTCCCAATGAGACGAAACGATTTACTTATAAAATTTAAAATTATTTAAAAAAAAAATAAAATAAATGTTTTAGGAAAATATGTGTATTGTCAAGTGTATTTTTTGTCAAACTACTACTACTAGAACGTTTTTTATCTGGACTATGGTCTAAGGCTATACGCCACTTTAAACTAATAACTGAATAAAATTTTCTTTCAATTGCTAGATGTGATGTAAAAGGTCTCAAGTGATGTAATTCTTCACCACATTAAAGTCAAACCAATAAAATGTGTAATGCTGATGAAGCAATACTGGTGAACTTGGTACAATGAGAAGTTAAGTTGGTAGAGGGATTCTTGGTGTATTATACAAAATTTACATTTTTTTAGTTTTGATTAAATTATTTATTTTGGAAAAAGTTGTATTTTACTATAAAGTATAGAAAATTCTTAATAATAACAGAGGCCAGTCCAACATTACTGACCAACAAAATATCATAAATCAAAAATGCATTTTAACGACAATGATCATGTCATTAACAAAGTTTACCCACATTTATAAAAGCATCAGTAAGATTTAAAAGTTCAATAATAAACATTTACATTTAACAAGCTGCTGCAACCACAATACTATCAACATAATCTGTTGTAAACTATAAAAATATCCATATTTACTTTAGTAAACACGCACCATTTTTCTTTTTCCAACAAAAACATTACACCACGTAATAACATGATAAGTATATTGGTAAGGCATCATCTGTTGCAGCTGCTAACTATATAATATTAGTAATGTTTTTGTAACAATTACACTTATTTAAAACATCCTTCAAAGGCATGACTATTCCTTTCTGTCATATTTTTTACATTCTTTCACACAGCTCCAATGTTGTAGAGGCCAACTGGAGCACAACTTCTCTACTTAGTGAGAAGTGATGAAGTAGCGATAAATAATGGTTGCCAGCACACCCAGAGCAAAGGGAATCAGCCAAGATCTCCAAGAGCCACTGTAATTGTCAATGGTCACATCACCAAGCAGCAACTAGTGCAATTTATACATACATAGCAACACAAACCAAATCAACCAAGGACAATAAACAAGCTTCTAAATGTTTAAAAAAAGATACTAAAAAGACACTAAAAAAACTAAGGTGAAACCAAACCAATGAGCAAACATAACAAAAGTACAATGAGAATGCTATGAATAAACTACATAAGTGAAAAGTATTTTTTTTTTATTCTAAAATTTGTACTAGAAAATCTACGACGTACGTTTAAATGAATTCTATCAACAATAAGAAAAGCTGATAACAGTCAGTAAGTTATTCAACGTAAATTTTAAATACCTGGGATCATCGTGACCACCTATGCCGCTAGCTGCATTTTTGGACTTTTGGTCCCTTTCATTTGTTCGCTCCTCCTACAAATCACCAAAAACAAAGAATAACATTAAAAATCATTGTACTTGAATAAAAAAAAAAAAAAAATTAAGTAAAGTATACTAACTTGAACGATCTCCCCAACTTTGAAAGGCTTCATCATTTCTCTGGCATCTGTCGAATGGGCAACATCTTCGAATGGTTCCGTGGAGTCTTTACCAGCCTGTTCCAGGAGCACCTCCTCACCACCAGGATGCTAAACGAAGAAAAAAATAAAATAAACGACGAAAAAAGCAGGTTATACACGAATGACAAGAAATTAACGGAATTGAAGGAAAAAATCAAAACAAAAAAATTTGATCAAGTGGGGAAACAAGTTGCAAAGTGGAGTTGATATTTACTTCGCCGAGGAACTTTGTGACATCGTAAACACCGTTGTGAATGATAATCCAAGCTTCTGTGATGTCGTTGCGCTGAGCAACCTCGGCTCGCGTAAAAAATTTCGGAGCCACCTCGTCCGACGATGACGTCGTCGACTCTACGACTTTGCTGTCTTCCGACATATTTTCCTCTACTTATTTCTCTGTTATTTGATCGACTTACTTGCTTTTTAAAAGGAACGCAAACAGATACAAATAATTAAATAATGACGAATCACTTTGACTCAACGACGTGTCCGTTTTTCTGTCCGGCACTTACACACACCACCCTTCGCCGTACTTAGTCGACCACGCAGACAATTTTTTTATGAAAACACCTGCTGCGTCTCCCTTGCTTGTGTTCTAAAGCCTATAATAGTGTAAGTGTAGTAGGGAGGTAGGTATATATGTGTGTACTGTTTTACATATATTATACAAAAATGTCGAGGTATATAGTATCGATATCGATAACATAATCTTCTTCTATTCCACACCTTTGCGCGCCACAGAACGAAATAACGGCCGTTCGAATTTTTTTTTAATTCAAATAAATTTGCCAACACGAGTTTATTACATGCAAGTATATGCGCTAGTACGTAGTCGTAATTTAACGTGTAATTAATTTACTGTTTTTATAAATTTTGGTTTACTCGTACATTAAAATACAGTCAGCCTACACAAATTTTTATCTTAACTATAAATACGTTATGAACGAGAAAAAGAATCACATTGTAGTCTCCGAAAGGAAGTAAAGGTGAAAAGGAACCAAGTACGTAGAGCGTTTTAAATAGATTTCAAAGTCTTTAATTGGCACAATTTGGGGAACATTTCTTTACAAGTTAAAAATATTAAAGTTCTCATCTCCTAACAATAAAAATATCGATATACTTTATTAAAATACGCGTATAGCTAACAAAATAACATACATAGGTATACATGTATACTCGAGGCGAGGTGCACACATATCGTTTGTCTTACATATTTATACACTCTAGGGATTTTCTGCACAGAAAATTCGCCCAACTAGATATATTTCACGTATTTCTTTTTTTTATTCATTCGCTACTGTTTTTGTTTAACGAAATTCGAGATGAAGCGTTCAAGCATCGAATGTGGATCAATTATTTATGTCATTACCATTAGCGCAATGGCTTATTACTTAAAAACTTAACACTTATAAAATTTCACTATACGCAATAAGATATGTATCGAATTTTCAAAATATTTAGGGCAATAAATATTTTTTAACGCATTCAACAACGCCGCAACAATTCGAATGTTCTTTCGAATAAATTGACAACCTTACACTTTTGTAATTTCATCGTAATTTCCATTAAAACACATCAGTTAATAACAAAATCTTGAACAATGACAGTAGGTTTTAATTAAAAACTTTATGCATTATATCCATTTTTTCAGCAATATGACAGATAGACAGGCTTAGAGTTGTGAGACAGACCAAAAAAGACGGCTAAAGATTTTTATCTTTTTCATGCGCTTTACTATACTTTATATACCACTAAGTAGAAAAATATTTAGGATCCTAAGTGTATATAAAAATCTAATGTATGCAGCTAATTTCATCCAAGCGTTTGCTGTCTTGTGTGTAACAAAATATATTTTGCTTGCCCATCTTTTATATAAAAAAACTTATTTGGCCATATAAGACATTTCAAATTGACAATTGTGTATCGTATATACGTATCGTTGGAACAATTTTACGACAGTATAAAGTAAAAAAAGTTTCAATTTTGAAATTCATCGCACCTCACTGGCAGTCTAAAGATTTGAAGAACCATAAAAATTGCTATAAAAAATATAAAAAAGGACGTTATTATGCTTGAATATAAAAATCTGTATAGTACATAATTTTTTAGGACCGATTGTAAAAAAAAAAAAAAAAAAAAACATCATGATCAACAAGAGTATTGAATCCACATTCGAATACTCCATCTAATATATAATATGTATATATAAAAGAAACGGTGAGTTAAAATTTTTAATTTCTCTCACGTTAATTCATTTCGCTAATGTCGCTTGAATAATTTGCTTTATCGCGATAATCGAAAAGATTGGAAGAAAGCGGTAGCACGTCACAACTGTTATCGCGCTAACATTATCTCTGCATCGAAATACCAAAACGTAGTAGTAATACATAATGCAAGTATTATATTCGTCGGCTCGTCGTTGCGAGGTAGCTACGTCACTCCTCTTCCACGTACTCTTTGGGAAAAAAGCCGACCTGATCGCCAATCTTTCCCTTCCACCATCCTTTGGCTTCACCTTCTTTGCTCAAAACAACAACGCGACAGCCTTTACGCAGACTCAGCTGATTACGCTCTCCACCGCGGTAATCGAAAAGAGCCTTGGCCAAGACTCGCCTGAACGGCCAGAGTAAGCGCTGGTCGAGGTTTTCAAAGTTTTCCGCGAGTGAGACTCGCTCGTAATACTCAACCAGTTCGACCACGCTCTTAAAGAAACGCGATTCGCTCAGATAGTACAAGTCGGCACCGTCAACTTCGCGCTTGAATATTCTTATGTGTCTAACGACGTCGTCAGCCCTGGAATAAAAAAAAAAAAAAAAAAAAAAAAAATTAATTCATAAATATTGGCAAACGAGTTGGCAATGCCCAAGAGAAATACTCACTTGATACTCAACGCATAGTTCGTTTCGTCTTTGAGACGCGGGTGTCCCGTGGGCGGGCGTATTCGAACCATGTACGTTCCATTCTCGCGCTGCTCCAGTTTAGTCGCGGCCGCGTCCCTGCCCATCTCTCCAACGTACCACAGCTTGGCCGACAACTCGCGTTCGAACGGCTGCGGGGACGGCGAGGGCGGTGATGGCGGGACAGGCGGCATCGGCACGCAACGCCCGGAATACACGATGCACTGCTTGTGAACCGACAATCGGCAGACATCGCACTTGTAACCCTGAAATGAAAAATACATCCGTACATTTCACGTATCGCTCGGGGTAGGGAATTTTCCCTTGGCCTCCGCGAACCTGAAAGATCCTTCCTTTGAGGAATTTGCCGCATCTTTCGCAACTGCGAGGACTGTCGAACGTGGTGAGCTTGAACTTGTGGTTCGTGTTGCGACAAGCCGCCGGGTAAATGTTGTCCATCGCGTCCTGCAAGGCTTTGATCCACATTTGCTTCTGGTCCTCGGAGCGCGCGTACAGAGTGTAAGCCTGTTTGTTCTTGTTCTGCACGAGCAGCCACTGGAACGACCATCGAGAGTCGCGGCCGAGTATCTTGCGGTTCGACGGGTCCTCGACTCTATACTCGTCCAGTCTAATGGTCTCCCTGTAGCAAAAGACGTCGCCTCGGCCAGCCTTGCACACCAGCACCACTTGCTCGAAAACAAAAGCGTAGCGAGCTTTTATCCGCTGATCGCCGTGAGCTTTGATCTTGAGCTCCCCGTCCTTCAACAGCCTCCCGTAATTCTTGAGCTGAAAGTCCTCCGACCTCTCCCAGTCCACGATGGATTCCTGAATGTCCCGGATGATGTCGATGGTATCCGAGTCGCGCTTGACCTCGTTTATGTACTGGGCCACGTCGACCATGACTTCCCGAGCTTGCGTCAGCAGCCGTATGTCCTCGACCCACTCTCGTGGCGTCTCCTCGACCAGTTTGTCGAGCAACAAGTGATACTTGAGCACCCTCTGCATGGGAACGGACAGTATGTCTCGGAGCTTGAATTTTCCATTGTTGGCCTCTTTTTGGCACTTCTGCAAAGAATTGAAAAAAAAAAAAAAAAAAAAAATAATAATTAACGAGTATATATATGATTGAGATTTAACAACGGGGACTACTGACTTCGATGGTCCAGCGGACAGTCTCGTTCTCGCAAACCTCGTGCACGGCGTTCTGGGCGGTGGTCAGGTTGGCGCAGTAGTCCCCGTAGATGAGAAACTTTTCGCGCCAGTCGAGGAACACCTGGGCGAGTCCGGCCCCGTCCCGTGCCTTGCGCAGTTGGCTGTGGAAGCCCGCGTGGATCTCGGCCAGGTCTTTTATGCCGAAGAAGATGCGGTTCGAGTCCTCGGGGGTGATGAGGCTGGAGAGCGGCCGGGCAAAGTAGCGCAGCAGGCTGTTCAGCACCTCCGCGTAGTTGCGCTCCGTTTCTATCAGCTCCTGGACCACGTAGTCGCGCTTCTCGCCACCTATGCCCACGCTCGCGGCTGATGCGACCGAGACCTGGAGGTTTCGCGTTAGACTCTTTCGACAGTTGTTCCGAGGAGGGGAATCGGGTGAAATTTCTTGGAGCTGTGTATTTACTCAATACAATTCACGGGCTCGGAGCCTTTTAACGCAGTTTCAATATACATCACAAGTGAGACTTGAACCCAGTGTAGCTGGAGCGCAAGCTTTTGTTTTAAAAGTTATAGTTTTGCAATTATTAAAAGCATTGCGTGTCACGTTGCACTCAATCATTTGTATCAAAATCCAGTTACAATGAAATTGTATGTGATTTCATATTGATGGTTTACCAAATGTTGTTGTAAATAATGAAATTTAAAAACAACTTAAAGTCAATGTTTTTTTGTATCAAAGGCTTTTGTTTGAGATTATATGAATATTTTGATCCTTTTTTTAAAGATTTTATAGAAAAAAAAGATTGACATTAAAATCGCTCCGAAAAGTTTCAGAAGGTACCAAAAAAGGATTTCGTTGTTTCCAAGCCTGTTCATTTACACTAATAACAGTGTAAAACTGTTGAATTTGTCATGCAAAAAGGAAAATTCTTTTAAGGGCATTCGCATAGCTTGCAAATATTGCCAAAAACAAAACAAAAAACCGGCTAGCTACTAATCAGCTCTCAAAGCGCGCTTCCAAAAAACATCGCAAAATTTGTAAATAAAAACAGACACGACGTGAACGACAGGTAAAGAAAAAAAAAAAAAAAAAAAAAAGCAGGGAAAAAAAAACCAAAGAACGTCAACCTGTGAGGCCGGCAAGGGAGGCGGTAGGTTCAGGCTACAAAGATCGTGGTAGACTTTCTCGCTGCGCGCGTGACTGGACAGAGCCCCAAAGCCGCCCTCCTCGGCCTCGAGGTCGTTCCTGCAGTTGTGGTCGGCACCCACGGCCCCCTCGTCCGAGGCAGCTGAGCCGCCGTCTCGTCTCCAGAACCGCCTGCGCCAGCCCTCGTTTTCTCGCCTTCACGGGTCGGCCACATGATTTAATAAAAACACATAGAATAGCCATGCAGAGCGTGGACTAGTAGCCGTCTTATGTCATATCTTATTGCGTGTGCGCTCGCGTGTTCATCAAAAACTCATGGCAAATATTATATCCTCGTATAGGAATACAAATACACCGACAATGTTACTTGCAATACTTGTGTATGCGTGTTTCGTTTTCAAATGCAAACATTAATACAGGAAGCACATAAGGTTTATGTAATTCTTGGTCTGCAGTCCATGTTTGTGGCTTCCTGTTGTATTTTTTTTTTTTTTTTTTTTTCAAGACACGTGTGATTAGCAGCACTGCACACCTTCTTTCTCATGTTGTCGCAATTAAGAAACAAAAAAAAAATTTTCCATTTCATTTTTTTTAGTCACATCACTAAGAAACTAAAAAAAAAAAAAATGCATTGAAAAGTCAAACTAACTCAACGTTAAAAAGCACAGCAAATAACTTACTACTGTAAAAAAAAAACACTGTAATTAAGCGACAGCAGTACAATACTCATTGCAAACGGAAAAAATTCAGATCAACGTCGTTCTCTGGTATCTACAACATTTCACACAACTGCCGTGTCTAATAAACTAACAGAAACACGTAAATACAACTCTAGCAGTTAATTTTTTGTTTTTCAATCACGCATACCTCCGACTCGGAGCAAGTGGACCAGTGGTTGTGCCGAGTCGTCTGCGAGAAGCAGAGTAACTCGTGATAAACTTCAGACTCATCGCCTAGGTCCATGACCTTAGGCTTTATTGTAAATGCTGCCACTGGCGGCGTGCCGCTAAATGCACAAAATTTACCGTTCATACTATCGGTATTTCATTATTAATCATTTGTTGTTTTCACTGTTTCATATTTTAAATTAGCAATTAAAGGACACGTTTTATTTACGTCGAGTGAATCGAAATAGTTTGAAAAGTATGCCAATTTATAACAGAAAGAGGAAAAAAAAAAAAATGTCCTTTGAAGTACTATACAAGAAGTGGATGGATGCAAGAAGCTTACCCTACTCCGCTCTGTAAATCTTTGTAAATGTCTTCTTGAGATCGGCCTCTTTTAACGGTGAAGCCTCTGTAAAATAATTATCATATACTTAGCACAACCATCCAAATGAGACTAGCGAATGTACGACGTATCCGTTACTTACTCTATTCCTTTGCTCTTAAATCGAGGAGTGTTTGACAGTACGGACAGCGTGCACAAGACTTTATAAAAATTGGACAGGTCAAAGAGCATAGTTGGCTCAAAAAGATCCGATTCCGATAGACCAAATATATTTGAGCACGCCGACAAAAACGCGTTGATGTTTCTTAAGCACAAAAATTGCGCCATCTGAGGTTTTTGATTCACATCTTTGCTATCTATACAGTTGGACTCTATGTTGTTCAGAAGATTGCAGAGTAGAACCCCGTCCCTTAAAATGTAAGCCAGATCAACAGCCTTTGCCGTGGGCCAATTGGCTCTGTGATCTGACCTCAAGGCTTTACATCTTGTCAGCCAGCTGGCGCATTCTTGCCAACTGTTTCCAATGATCTCTGCCCCACAATCTGCTCCACTCATTTTGCATCGATTGCTTCCAATCAACAGCTTAACAGGCAAGAATAAGGCAATATCTTTGCTGAGCAGCAAGTAGATTTAATCATTTTACTAGCCTATTTTTTTGGTACTAGTTGACTGTCATCTCTGTTACTTTTCTTGAAGAGTACATCTGAAATTAAAACTTGAAAGATTAATGAAGTTTTTTTTTTTTTTTTTTTTTTTTTTCAATTCACTCGATTTATATATAAACAAGGCATTTTTTATAATGATAATCAAATAAAATCTTTCCATCAACCAAATTTTCATGAATTAAAGAAAAACCATTCACATAAACTTGACCCACATGTTCACGAGCATAAACATAGAGATAAAAAGTATAACAGGGTATATAATTATGCATGCTCCGATTACAAACTGAGAAGCGAAAGAAAAAAAAAAATTTTATTTTCAACAAAAAGAAAAAATTGTTTCAAAGTAGAAAAATGTATATTATAATATAGGGGGATAAAGAGCGACAGCGAATCCATTCATAATATACATACCAATTAACGGGCGCGCACTAGACTGGTGTTATACAAAAGAGGGTGGAGGATGACGATGTGTGTATATATACAAGCGACGTGCCCTTTGAAGTTTGGGCTACGGATAGCAGAAGTCACCGTCGATCCCGTCAGCAGCCGGCGACGATCTTCTGATGATTACACAGCCCTCGACAACAACCTCCGACAACATGAACCCAACCAACGGCATCCCTATCTTCTGTATTACGCCGCATCCGTGTATATACGCGCGGACGGTTCCAAGAGCAGCACCCGCGGAGAAAGAAAATATAAAATGTATATAAAATAATGTATATATACGCCAGATTCTCTCTCTACTCCTCTTTCTATTTTGTCTCTCTTTCGCCCGCAGCCCGCAGAAAGCAGATCATCGAAGAGATGCAGTACTCAAGAGCATAAACGTATAATATGATAGATAAAGAGGGAAGCAAGAGATGAAGAACACACGCAGCATCCATCAGGGGATATAAGGTACACATGTGTGTAACATACGCGCGCACTTCCTCCCTCCCTCTTGCTCTCCCTCCTTCTCTCGATCTCGTCATGATAACCCGCTCAAACAGATAAACTACACAGAGAGACACCCGTTTGCAACATACCTTACATCTTTGGAGTAACTGTTAAATTATAATGTTCAAGGTGATAAAGTGCACACTAAAACGCCCTGCGCTCGTCTTATCATCGCACTATCTTGTCATTGTCAAACGCGCTGATAGTATAATAATATATAACTCGCGCCATGTTGTCTGCTCAACTACAACTGGAGCAACTCGTGCGTGCAGCTCAGCTGATATGCTTCCTCCACAGCTTCTTCAATGACAGATTTTGTCTCTCTTCTTCTCGTGGATATGACGCGCCGTGCAGAGGAGGACGGAGAACAAGGAGTGCACGTCGGAGAGAGAGCACTAGCTTGCCGATCGAGATGTGGTGTGGAGAGTGCATGTGTGGACCCTTGCCCGCGCGCGCGCCTCGTTTGCACGTTTATGAATGATGCCTTTTGTTCTTTCTCATCAATGAGATTTCGTGAATAGGATACATCGTATACATGCAACGGAAGTGCTCAATGAAAAGGTATAATCGTCGTTATCTTTGTCTTGTTTATTACATACATACATATGCATCCATGTATAAAATATCTCTTTGTTATAAAAAATAATACGTATATATTATCATATGGATACTTTGTGCGTTTGATAAATGGTAAATAAATCTAACTTTGTTTTCCTCGTCGGGTGAACATTGAGGCAAACCAAGATTTTATTGGTTCAAATATTCCCTTTTTGTTCTTAGGAGACTTTGGACAAGGCTCTACATCCTTGACTGTGTCTCTGTAGTTTTTCCAAACTTCGGGCACGTTCAAACAAACGGTTCCACCTCCTCTTTCGAATTGAGTGTCCTGAGAATCATATATGATTGAAGTTATGGTGATTTATCAATTCGCAAAACTATTATAAATAGACATACAAAATACACTTACAGCTCTGTTAATATCTCCAATGCAAACCCAAGATCCCTTGTTTTTGCCATCATTGGATACAGCCCATTTAGAATGGTCATGAGAGCTTTTGAATTCTACCTTAGCTATCGACAAGTAAACTAACTGAACGTTGTAAACGCTAGAGATAAACAAAACGTTGAATGAAACTTGACAATGGGAAATTATAACAAAATCCAAGTATCAATCAATCACCTTGATGCATTACATTCGGAGGGTAATCTACCCCGACCATTGAGCCAAGTTTCTGCATACAAATCGGTATTCAATTCTGGTGCCACAAAGTCATCGTACAGATCTAAAAAGAGTTTGCACAAAATAATTACTATGAATAGTACAAAGTATTTCACATATTCTTGATATTTGGATACCTCTAGCCCATTTACTACTTTTTGCAAACGATTTGAATTCCATACCACCAGTGGAATAAAAGTTAACTGAATTGTTGTATGGTTCCTTTTTTATTTTTTTCTCATTTGCTGCATCGGTGAGAACGGTGTACTTATCAGATATATCCTTTGGTAAATTCTTTTTGAATACCAAGATTTGATTATACATCAATTGTTTGCCAATGGTATCAAAATGATTGCCAATGGTAGAAATACACATAAAGCTTTGTCCATTTACTTTTCCCGAGGAAGGATAGTTATATTCACCCACCGGTAAATTATTGACTTTAGATTTTGATGCTTCTGCGTCATTTACATCGTTTTCTTTTTTCTGTCTATTACTTTGCACACCATGTTCAGGCTCTGGTGGAAAATTGGGTACACTGTGAATCAGCCAGAATCCTTTGTGCTCGTTTACCATCACTGCTCCTTTTGTATGGCCATTGTACATAATTGATGGTTTGTTAGGTGGTTGGTCATTGTACAATATCCACATGAAATCTTTACTCTGCTTCTGTAAATTAAAAACAAATTTTGAGGAATCAAATAATGCAATCATTTAAAAAACAGGATGATTTGTCAAGCTGAACTTACTTTGTCGTAAAAAGGAGCTAACGTGTAGGCAGGAATGGATTCTTTACTGCCAATATCTTTGTCCGACAATGTCCACCCATTATTATAATTATTGCTGTGCATGTACAAATAGGCAGCACCATTTTTTATTAAATTATTGTTGCTGTCCGATATTTTTGGTATTTTGTACAATACAAACCTAAGTCATGACATGAAAATAAGATTAAAGTAAATATTTTAAATAAAACACAAAAAAATGTTTTTTAATCATTGGATTACCAATCAACGTCTTGGTTTCGTTCATCTTTGCACTGTAACAATAACACTTGTTCAAAACTATTTAAAAATAATACAACAAAAAGCAAATTGCAAAACACGGCTAACGTCATTATTTTATTTATTTTTTTTTTTTCAAGGTTTTCAGCCACTTATAAGCGGCAACAAAATGAAGAGCACATGTAATCACGTAATAGTGAAACAAAGGCGTGGAATGTCTCTGCCTAACTTCGATACTATTGTTGTCATTATCGTTGAATCATCAAACAAGTCGTTTAAGACATGACACTATTTTGATAAGTGCAATCGTAGATCTGTCATTCTGCTGTCGTTAGTCATTATTTACTACAATTTTACAAACGTGTCGCGACATCAGAGCCAACTATAGTCACCTTCTACGTACTACAACTAGAAACGATGATATATTACCTTGGGAGACGCCCAGAGTCGGTATTATTTTGTCGTACCAACTGTGAGTATCTATGTGCATTACTTAATTATATTTATTTATTCATCAATATATTTTTGCAATAATGTTATTACAATCAGCACAAGTTTTTGTATGAAAATGATCATTACGTAACTTTTACATGCTTTTTATGTATTTTTTTATTCAAAATCTCATCATGTATTTAATTTATGGCGAAAAAACAAGTGTTTCCTTCAACTTTCTGTTATACATTAAGAGTCACAAAAAAAATTATTGATAACGATAAAATTTTCGTTCAGCCAAATGTACATTAAGAACTTTAAGGACTTCATCTGGACAATTTTTTATTTTGAAACTCTTTAATTGCGTGACGAAAGATTAGTTTGATTAATAATTAATCTTCACAACCTTTTTTTAAAACTATAATTTAGGGTGAAAAACATTACTGAACTTTGAAATGAATTCTCATCCTCCATCTACGAAAGAAATGAAAATTTTTTTTAGATTTTAATAATTAAACGTGGTTTAGCCATTATCTTGCATACTGTGAAAAATTTTATCTGAAAAAAATCAAAGAATTCATTTTTAATCTTATGAAATTTTAAAGAAGTTATAAAACACCGATGCAAGAAGTTTTTTTTACAACAGAAAAACGAATGGGGTAGAAGTAACTTTCATCCCAAAATATTTGATTTTTCTCAAAATCCACTCCACTTAAACGATGACGGGGAAACAAGGGTTGTAAACAATATTGGCCCAAGCCACTTCGCCAGAGGACGACATTGTTGTACACCACTTGAAAAACGCACTTTGGCACTTTGGCACGTTTTGTAAAAGCAGGTGAAAAAAAAATTAAAATTCTTTTTACATCATTTTCTGGCTGCCACCGCTACACTTTTTTAATTCCTCGTACGTGTCGGTTGTCTCTTTCTGGATTTTATGCTCACAGAGTGTATGATGCCACAATACATTATGCGTCGTCACAGCTACAACCGTATGTATGTTTGCAATCTTTTTTTTTTTTTTTTTTCCACTTACGATTTTCGCACGCGGATACCTGCACCCACTGCTATTTTTACGACAAATGAAATTCGTGCGAGCGTCAAGGACGTAAAATCGCAATTTTGCAAAAAGCATCCCTGGGAAGTGCTCCCTTTTACACGAAGCGATCCAGATAATACCATGCAAGTACAGGCGATGGTGAAAAAATGCCATTTGCAATGAGCAACGGAGAAATGAATTTTTACAACTCACACAAACAAAAGTGGAATTTCATACATCGGACAATTGAAAGCAAAAGGCGACAAAAGCGCGCGGACCCGCCCATCATACGCTAGATTGAAATGGCCTTTTCAAAAAAGTTCCATCCCTCGCGTTGTTATCACAAATAAGTATTGCTCGCGGGTTGTTCCGACCGATCGCCGATTGTTGCGGCAAAACGCGAAATCCTCGTAAAATCCGTCCGCGGATACACTCGCACGAGCGACCGCATATCGTCAATTGGGGCCGAAACACTAAAACTTGGTCATCGTTGCCCACAATGTATATACCTACCTATACACGCGAGTAGAGTAACAACAGAGCCAAAAGGGGGTGGGAAGCATCGATCGAAAATCAAAGAGGTTTTGCGTGTCGAGCACGTATCCCATCCCATATAATCCCGTATACGGACTTGGAGGAGCGTAGGTATATATGTATATCCACACCGAGAGTAGTAATGGACCAATTATGCGCTGCAAATAAATCATGGGCATCCGAATGGGTGCAGTTGCACACGCGGTATTATCATCATCGCACTCGCATCACGCGCGCAAGAGTAAAATAAGAGCAGCGTCGGAGGGCGTTTAAGAGCATAGGTGTATTGTACGTGTATAAATATAGGTGTACATAAAGCGCAGCAAATTTTCCGTGAACAATGCAGTGCTTGCTACTATGCTGCTCTCATGAATGTATATTACGTCAGAGAGAGAGAGAGAGAGAGCTAGATTTCCTCGCCATTAATGCGCTCGTCTCTTCCTTCTTCTATCCTGTTATACTCGCGTCGTCGTGTGCCCTGAAAGCCAAACTATACACTGTTTGTCACACGTACACGTGTGATTATATATGCATATTCCTTGCCTTTGTGTATATTATATATTTATGATGTTGCTCTTGTTGTACCTACTCGACGCGTGTAAATACTGTGATTTACGTTTGGATTGTTGTGATTGGTCCCGACGAATTTTATTCCGTTGTTTCACTCCTTTTGAGTGAGACATGATCTGATTTCGCGGTTTTGTGGTTTACAATAAAAACAAGTCACCGGCCGTCGATTTTATGCGTAACTCGCGGTTGGGGGTTTTCTACTATAGAAGAGCTTTTTCGTGCTTGTTTGCTTTTACGAGTGTTTTTTTTTTTTTTTTTTTTCCCCTACTCAAAGTGTAAAATTGAACGAGATTTTCGAATAAAATACGCGCGAAAAATTCCAATATCCCCCTTGATAACAACATTGACACCAATCGAGAGTGTATACAGTGTAGTTTGTGTTGGAAAAACAAAAAAAAAAAAAAAAAAAAAAGGAGAAACTTTGACCGGCCGCCAAAACGCGAATGGGGTAGAAAGTAATTTCATTACATTCCCAAAAAAGTCGCCAAATCCCTCCGATCTTTCGGAATCCTTTTATCAACGAAAAAAACTTTGAGCAAAAGCCCTGGATGGGATTTCTTCTTTTTTTTTTTTTGGACCCAATAAAAAGAAAATCCTCCTCGTGAAGAGGATAAGGTGCGTCGTACCCCTCCCCCCTTTGCCGGATAAAAAATTAGGGGCGGAAGGGAACACAACCCAGCCATCGCGAATCCTTGTCCGCGGAGAAAAATTTTTCTTCAAACTGTATATATACGTATATACAGTAGAGGAAAGGCCGCTGGTCCACTTTATGTCTTTTCTCTCTCCTTTCGCGGGTAACTATCCTGAAAAAAGGCGCGCGCGACGGCGAAAAGGTCCATAAACTTTCGCGCGGGGTCCATCAGCCATCCGGAAGTAGACATATAGGCCTCGAAGAGAGAGAGAGAGAGTCCGAGGGGAGGTTTTTTTATCGTCACTCGAAAAACGTAGTGAATGTGCTGGCGAAAATGATCCAAAGCACCGTTGAATCCAGAGAGTACATTAACGCGCCGGTGTATTTAGAGTCTATATCTCGAGGGACGGATGCGCATGGGAGTGTATGGTGGCGTAATGCCTTCACTTGCGCGTCTCCGCGAAAACCGCGCTCGCGGAACCGCAATACGATTTCCCTGTGCACTTGGGCTGCTGCGTGTATAGATAACTGTGGAAATATGAGGGGAGGGGGAAGCAATCGATTGTGCGACGAGCGTTTCGGGGATGAGACGATATAGGCCATTTGTAGCGTGGATTTCGAAACGTACCCAATCGGGGAGTCGATGAAAAAATTTTTGACCACCGCGTGGGGAAGAGGAGGGCTAAGCGTAGGGCTTCCGATTTGTTGAAACAACTAATCGACTTTCGGTCGCAGCGCTGACTTGTTCTACTGGAATTCCATTCTCTATAATATATACATGTATGATGTGTACAGATGGGGATTATGATTGTGATGTTTACGTACAACGTAGTAGGTTGAATTTCATCCCCAAAGTAATTTTTCTCCTATACTATACGAGATAAATAATACTTTTCAATAAGATATTCTCTAAACAAAACAATGACGTGTTTGATGTTTCGTGAATTTGATGATGCGATATCTTGGAATTTGTAATACTTGCTTTCGAGGTACTTTATACACGTACGATTAAAAAAAAAAAATAAACAATCTCTCTACTCCGAATAAAACTTTCGACGTGCGCAAGTAGATGAAAGAGGGGGCGTCGCAATCCTTTCGCATTGCTCCCACTCGGCCCTTTTTGTTTGTCGCTTTCGGTGAGCTTCTGGATTAACGTCCGCCGTTAACGTTAGCCTCCTCACTAAGCAGCGTACATATGCCGATCCTGAAAAAAAGCAGAAGCTTTTCGTGAATCGAAAAAAAAGAGCCAATGTTTTTTTAGACCCTTCCCTTTTTTACGCCGTACAGTTTTTCTTTCCCTCAACATCCCCCAAAAGTTGAGTTGACCTCTATACATCATAGATCCCGAGTCCGTGACGATGAGGCCTATACCTTCCCACGAAACAATGCACTTCGAAGCCGTGAATCACCACCAAAGTCAGCCCTCGTGTATCGGCAAACAAAACACCCATGGCCCACGGGCGCGCCACAGCTACATATAGCCCCGCGACAAAAGAACTGACCATTTCTTTTCCATTGGCTCTCCCTCACTGCTAAACCTTCGCGTATAGCCCAGCTCGGAAAATCAGTAGGGGGGGGGAGGATTTTTGTGTTGGGCGTCTCTTTGCAAAAAAAAGAGCGCACGCGTTTGTAGAGGAAAAAAAGAGAAGGAAACAACGAGCCAACTATACCATATCGAACAAAGCGACGATGAGCGAAACAAAAAAAGAGCAACAAGAAAGGGAGAACAGACTTTGGTCGACTCTACACATGTACGTATATACTGTACTGTATACACGTAGGGGGTAGGGGGTGGCGCACACAGTCGTGTATACACGTGCTATGACTGTCCGGGCGCGGGAGAGCCCGAAGAGCCTCTGGCCTGTAAATAACTACTCGCGCTCGCTATATAGCCGGGGATACCGGAGCACAATGCGACATCAAAGAGCAGCCGCGCGAGAGAACGAGTGCGTATATATACACACGTAAGAGGGTGCGCAACGGAAGATCGAGAGCATAAATCTATAGCGTCCGATATTGTACACCCCCTCTCTCACTCTGATGTCAAGGTATGTTGACGTCTAGTCTTACGGAGACGCGTCACGTGTGAGT